CGAGTTTAAGCAGGTGTCAAATTGCTCTGTTTTTCAAGCAGTTTGTATGCCTGTACAGTATCTAATTATGCATTCAAGGCAACTTGACTTTTTGGTCTGCTACTGGTGATGAAGGGTATCATTGCAGCAAAAACGGATTCACAATCATCTAATCAAGAATTTTATGGAGAACCAGAGAGCTATACTCAATAACAGTAGACCGAACTGGAAACCAGTTTGGCCCTGGTTCCCGTACAAACCTTAACTAAATCCAGAACTAGACTAACTTTATTTAATTTAATCCAGACCAATCAAATTGCAATTTGAGATGCTATGTAACTTGTGATTTACTAGTTGCAAACTTCAGTCTCACACAGAGATAATCAATGGCACAAACTTGAGGGCGCTCTGAAAACCTGGGGTGGAATATTTCTATTAGAAATTTTTGCTGTTGCTGTGAATGTGCGCGGGCGTGTGTGTGTGTGTGTGTGTGTGTGTGTGTGTGTGTGTGTGTGTGTGTGTGTGTGTGCGGAAGAGGAGTTTCACCAATGATCAAGCATGGAGAAACGGAAAAGAAAGTGTTCCAAAAACGTCCGTGAAAGTGAGAAGATGCTTTTGAGAGAAATAATTTCAAAGTACCCCGCACTTGAAGATAGAAATGGAAAAAGACAAAATGCATGTGATTATGAAAGAATATAATTCAAATGAACACATAGTAACAGGACCCTCCAATCATTTCAGGTAGGACTGAATTTTATGTCATCTTGACTTTTCTTGTCATTCACTATGAAACGCATGTTTTCTCATATGAGGCACACGCAGACACACATTCATATAGTGGCTTGTAAAGATGCTGCGGAATACCATTAATATACAGTTAAAGAAAACCATACAGCAATTGCTTGAAAGGAGTGCTTCTCGACAGGTGGGACCCCCAGTTAGACCAGATAACAGATATCAGATGAACTGGGTGAGTTTTGGATGGGGATAATTGAAAGCCAACAACCCTTGGAAGGTCTCCCAGATGATGATCATCTGGACAGTTCAGCAGCTCCTGTTGAGGGACACTTAATGGGAACATGACATCTACCAATACAAAATGACTCATTCAGCCTTTACACTGAATTTAAACCTTCCCCTGGCCAATCTTAAATCTTGGATTTACAACTGGATTAGCTCTTGTCTTTCTTCAAAACAGGAGATTATTTAGCTCAAGATGAGTCTGAGACTACTGGTATTTTAATCCATACCTAAGAAAGCAATTTCAATAAATTGTGGATGAATCCTCGTACAGGAAACTGAACATGTTTTGTTGAGGTCGGTCCCAAATTAGACAGGACAGTGGAGATAAATGATGATGTTCGGCAAATTACATTAATATTACAGATACATTTCAGAATCCCTGACTGTGTATTTGTCAAGGTGAGTAGAATTTAACAGGAATCAGTAATGACACAATGGTTGTTCTCCAAAACAAAGCCAATGCATCTTTCATCATGCCCTTTACTGAAACACAAGTTAAAAAGGATTTTTTTTTTAAAACCAATTGATGAATCCATGCAACCATTAGCATTATTATTATTTACACAGATGAGCTGGGGCCTATCCCAGCTGTGTTTGGCCCTGAAGTAAACTGGTCGCCAAACAACCATTCACACCGAATGAGAATTTTGGGTCTTAAATGAACCTACCATGCATGTTTTTGGAATGTTGGAGGCATCCAGAATACCCGCAGAAAATGCACACAGTCATGGGGAGAACGTGCAAACCCTACACAGGAAGGCTGGAGCCCAGGTATGAACCCATGATCTCAGTACTGAGAGGCAGATGTAATAACCACCTTCCACCATGCTGCCTTATGAATCCAGGATACAAATACAGTGTCTTAAAAAAAATCCCCCGCTTCCTGGTTTCTTTTTTGCATATTCATCACACTGAAATGTTCAAGCTACCTGTCCCAATGTGAAAAAGTCATTGCCCCCTTTGTAAAATTATGTGTTAACTAAGCTTAACCACAGTTTTTGGACAGCTGAGTTGAGTTTCTCTGGCCACACCCAGGCCTTGGTGCTGCCCGATTAATCAAGAAAGCACTTAAACAGCATCTGTCAAACAAAGTGAAGTAGGCTGATAAAAGAAAAAACATCATGCCCAACCAAAGTATTTCAGTCTGGAAAAGGTTATAAAGCCATTTCCAAGGCTTGGGGACTCCAGCAATCCAAGGTCAGAGCTGTTATCCACAAACGGAGAAAACTGTAACGAGTGGTAAAGCTTTCAAGGAGCTATCGGCCAATCAAAATTACTCCAAAAATGCAATTAAAACTTGTCCAAGAGGTCACAGAAGAACTCTGAGTGGCATACAAAAACTGCAGGCCTTACTGAGCACTGAACCATAAGAAGGACACAGTGCAAAAATGGCATCCATTGGAGAATTCTGAGGCAAAAAAACACCAAAAAGAACACAAAGGTCCATCGGATCCTTGAGACTTTTTGGGGGAAAAAAACAGACTGATGCGACAAAACTTGAACTATTTGAAAGTTGTACAGCCAGTTTCATTTTACATGAAATAGCACAGCATTTGATAAAAACAAAACAATGCCTACAGTAATACATGGTGGTGGCATGGTGATGTTCTCAAATGCTACTTCAGGACCTGGACAACTTGCTGCATCTACTGGCACAAACAATTCTGCTGTCCACCAGAAAATCCTGCATACCAATGTCAAGCCATCATTTCATGCCCTGAAGCTCAAGGAAAGCACTATGCAGCAGGAAAATGAACCAGGACATAAAAGCAAGTCCAACCTCTCTTGGTTGTCATCCAAAACCAACCAAAGTGAAGGTTTTGGATGACATAGAATGTCAGGCCATCAGTTCATGCCCTCAAGATCAAACAAAGCACTATGCAGCAGGAAAATGACGTGGAACATAACAGCAAGTCCAACCTCTGAAGGGATCAGACAAACCAAAATGAAGGTTTTGGATGACCCAGTCGAATTCCAGACTTCAATCCAATTGTAATGCAATGTGTTACAATACATAAATAAATAGATGGGTTTGGGCTTGGCCGTTGTGTCGCTGTGATCTTTTTCCGGACCGTACTTCCTATCTATCTGCATCCTGGTCTAGTTGGAATCAGTTAACACTGTGTCACACACTGCCATATGGACTAGGCAGAGCCCTCCTTCTATGTTGGGGCGGCTCAGGGAGTGTAAAGAATAGGAGCCATTTTGGACAGATTAGACCTTCTTCTGCATCGGAGAAATAAGGCTCCACTGCGTGGTACCAGTCTTCCTGCCATTCATTAACTAGTTTAACAGAGATTTTTCAGTCTTCAGGTAGTTACTCTTAGTTTAGTATTGCGACCATTAAAGATAATAGACCAGGTGTAGGTTTCCACAGAACTTTTCGTATGGGAGGGTCCTTCCTAGTTCCGTCTCTTTGGACGGGGGATTTATGACTCCACCATTAGATGGTGCTGTTGCCCAGTGCTATTTTTGCTTATTCTGAAAGACTGCAAGGTGAGGTGAGGATGGGCTGCTACCTGTCGGAATACGTAAATCATGGACACCATTACATTTAAAAAGAAAATCAATAGAGAGCACACACTAGAGAATTAAAATATTAGATAATTTTATGAAGTCATTATTGAAAGCACACACGAGAGAATTAAAATGGAAAACAATTTTATTAAGTCGTTATTATTAATAGTTTTCATGAAAGTGAGGCCCACCCTTTCCTTACCACATAACCCCGGTATCTCCTCGGATTGCTACGATATATTGTGGTGTATAAAGATTGGTTTCAGTACACTTTTCTTACCTTCATTGTTTGTCCAAATGTTTTGAATCTGTAGCAAAAAATAAAAAAATGTGCCTTACTTTTTTTAGTTGTGTGTATATCAGGTCTTCCTAAATAACTGCAGCATGTTGTGTCACAAAAGAGATCACAAGGTACTGTATGTACTTTTTGGGTGGAAGCCACATCAACAAATTGCTATCGGACGAAGTTTTGGCAAGTCAAAGCTGTTCATCACTCGGATGTGTATTCATAGTTGACACAATGATTAAGAGAATGGTTTCTCTTTAATGATTTGAATTTCACAGCGTGAGTTTCCTGAATTTCCCAGACTCAAATTGGGGTGAAACAGTTCACTTCAGTGCTCTTCTTGATAACCCCCACAAGGCGACACTTTTATATACAAAGTAGATCAATGAAGAAGTCTCGTCTACCTGTATTCGTCATATTATTTAATCATGTAATCTGAGTGATGTGTTTTGTGAGTAAATTGGATGACTGGAGTTGTACTGCGAGTATAGATGTATTACGACATACTGTACCTCCTAATTTATCAGGGTTGGGACCACACTCCAGCAGCATGGTGTGGTTGTGGTAAACGCTTCTGCCTCACAGTCAAGAGGTTCTAGATTTTCTCCAACTCCGACTTCCTCCCCCATCCCCAAAACATTCCGTTTTAGGTTAATTGAAGACTAAATATCTAATACTGTAAATGTTTATGTGAATGTAAAAGATTGTGTGTACATCATTGGGTGTTGTTTAAAAAAATGTTATGCCAAGGATAGGATATGTGCCATCAAGCAAGACAAACAGTGACAACAATTCAGGGAGAGGCCTATGTTCATATAGGTAGCAACACCACTTATAACCTTTTCAATTATGTATTCACCTGCACCAAAGCAACATGTCATCAGCAGCATTGACACTATGTTGTGCACAGTTTGTCCATAGATTCTTGCGCGTGTCAAGACCTCTGTTTGTTGGCTACTCAATTTCAATTAAAGTGAAAGACAGCTCGAGTTTCGAATATTGTTGAATCCATCAACATGATAATGACAGACATCTGGCTGACTGCATGGGGGAGGCAACCACCGTGACTTTGGTGCATGGCCTAAAGAACATAATCAGTGATGATAGATAGATAGATAGATAGATAGATAGATAGATAGATAGATAGATAGATAGATAGATAGATAGATAGATTTGATAAGATTAGCCTACTCACATTCCAGGTGTTTTTTCTTTGGGGCTGTTTGTTCATGTGTGGTGGATTTACACACAGCTCGTGATACTTCCGATCCAGTCAAGCTATACTGGGCCGCGGCGATGCGGTCCGTAAGCGTCTGACCCGACATTTTCTCCTCTCAGTGGAGTCCACCCTCAGCGATCGAGTGGTCCGACCCACCCACCTCCACTTGAAAATGAAGAGCAGCCTCAGTAATCCCAGCTGCTGCGCTCGAAGTCAACACACAATTCTATTACATAACAATGGTGGTAGTGACGGATTGGTCCAATCATGCGTCTTTTGTTGGCAAAAAAAAATCTTCCAGGACGCTGTGAAAGATCACCTTAAAAAGTGTGGATATTCAAATGAAACGATCACCTTCACTCTTTTATTCCCGTGTTATTTTTCAACCCGTGAGAAAAAAATGCTTCTCTTCGGATGATGCTCTTGAAGCGTCCCCCTCCGCTCAGTCTTCCAGCCTGTGGCCTCCTGCTTAATCCTCACAGCCTCTCTGACAGTCCTTGTCTGAGCAGAGGAACGTTCGGTCCAAGCTGGCAGCACCCCACATCCGGAGCAACGCTTTTCTTCTTCCTCCTCCACTGGATGCTACCTCTGTCCCGCGACCCCCTCCCCGCCGCCCACAACCCCAGTCGAAGCACGTTTCAAACACCGAATGTTAAAAAGCTCTCTCTCTCTCTCTCTCTCTTTCTTTACGGTTTGGCGTCCTCTTCGGTCTTGTTATTTATTTATTATTGCATTTATCGCCACGCCCCGCCCTTTCGCCGTGTCATGTGACAATGTAGTGCCACTGCCCAAACTGCCGTTGCCTCTTTCTGCCATCGCGAGAACTGAGGCTTACGAGGACAGAAATGACGCGAAGGGTTAAAGAAGCTAGTTGACATCCTGGCTTGATGCTGGTCACATGAAGGTGACAGCGGACATCCCTTGAGCCTTGACGCACTGCATACCATCATGAAGCTTTAATCACTGTCCGTGGTGCTGATATTGTGCATGCAACTCTGCTCGAAAACTGTGGCAGGTACTTTTACAGCTCCTGGATATTTAGATTCATGCTGTGTAGTTAATAATGCAATTATGCAAAATCCTATCATGTATCGTCGGCCACATGGCATAATTGCCTAAGTCATATTTCAAAACACAATTGTTAGAAAATACATTTTTTTATTGATATGGTAACAAAACACTCAACCAGATGTGTGAACAAGTGAGCGAAAACAAAAAGAAATTAATTGTTTAACAATTAAAAGTGACTTCGGCAGAACGTGCCATGACTTGGACATGCAAACATAAACAAAATTGTTTTACTCTCCCAAATGTGACCACATTAACCAAATTCATTCTTCATGTTTAACCATAACCAATGTCAGCACTAAAATTCACCTCCTGGAAAAACTCAGCAATGATTGAATGCATTTTTATTACAACATTCAGCACATCTTAATGATGCCCATTTTTATGGGCGTGGTCAGGTATATTTTCGCCTCAGCCTGTTAACGTCATTGAGAGGAGGCAACCATTGTAATATTGTTTCCTGGCTTCTTCTGGCACATTCTGTTGTCTGAAAACGACAAGTGGTGACGAATAGTCACATCTCTACTCATGTCTAATTCATCTTGTGAAAATATAAAGGTGATTTTATCGACATTAAATGTCAGCTCCTATTAGGAAAAGCCATGATCACGTCCACAATGATACTGTCAAGGTTAGCAGTGTGAAATTATCACATCCTGGTCAGAAGATATTCTCATAGAGATACCTTTGGCTGTATCAGGGGCCGAACACTAAAATTAGTCTTGACAGCTGCAGTGGCGTTAGCTGAGGTGGGCTGCCTGCCTATGGAGTCTAACAAAACTTTAGTGTTGCTAAATCCAACTATCCATTTTCCAATCCGCTTTATCCTCACAAAGGTCATGGGGGGTGCTGGAGCCTATCCCAGCTGTCTTCGGGCAGTAGGTGGGGGACACCCTGAACCAGTTGCCAGCCAATCGCAGGGCACACACAGACGAACAACCATCTGCGCTCACACTCACACCTAGGGACAATTAAAGTGTTCACTCAGCCTTCCATGCATGTTTTTGGAATGTGGGAGGAAACCAGAGTACCCGGAAAAAACCCACAAAGGCACGAAGAGAACATGCAAACTCCACACAGGGAGGCCGGAGCCGGAATCAAATTCTGCACATCTGCACTGTGAGGCCGATGCACGAACCAGTCGACCACCGGGTCACCACGAGACAATCCTATCTTCTCAAAATTTCACACATTTGATGATCGTCCAGGCCTGACAACATTTACAAACATATTTTTCATCATAGTGGGTGCACCACTTACTGGCTACAGGAAATACATTTTATTCGTTGATGTTCTTCTCTTCACGTGTTAAGCAGACCTACATGTTTGCTCGAGTGGTTAGGCCTTCATGATAAAACATGAAGTTTGTGAGTTTACGTGAAACGTTGCCATGGCAATGAATGCGCTGTTCGCCCCCCAAAAAATAACTTAGCACACACATGAAGCCTGACAAAATAATTATTTTATTTTGTGAGCAATTTAAACAAATGTCTCAGTAGTGCCCCCTACAAATTTAAAATCACATTCGAAAGTGTACTAACTAAACCAAATGCATAAGTGACTGAAAGACTCACCCTCCCTGCCCTCACAAACACACACATCTAACAGTTGCAGCACAAACACGGGGACAGGAATTGGATTGGAACAGAAAGGCAACATGTGAACTTTGTAACGTTTTAGAACGTAATGTCATAAAACTTAAATAGATGGATGGATGAATAAATAAACAAAGAAAGTTGAGGGAGTTGAATGTGGGCTAGACGTTTTCTGTCAGGGCTATAGCACCCCCTAAGCCGCAGTGTAGCGCCGTGCATGTTGGGCACTTCCCAAAATACTGTAGCAAGAATGGCATGTGAGAAACTGCATGGAAGCTGCGTTTGTCATTCGTTCATAAAGGAGCCATGAAGAGTTAAATCATTTTCAGAGGTTGAAATGAGTACAAGTATGTCTGCCCACGTAAATTTTGGTGCAGATGGATTGCCATTTTCGGACATTATATACAATGATTTTGAATGGACAAATTTTGTCTGGTCCCTCCATTGACCCCCACCATGACATGGGAAGGGGGGCGGGGGGGGGTGACTAAAAATGGGGGGTTTTGAGAGTACTGTAGAGTAGTTAGGTATTTACTGATTTCTCTAAATGAGGAAATTCAAAATGCAACGTAATGTAATTTACCTGATTAAAATACAAATACATAAATAAATAAATAAACATTGAATTAAAAACAGCCGTTTGGGTCGGATTATCCCTTTAAGAAACATCAGCAGTGTTCTGTAGTCTTTATTAGCTACTTGCTATCAGAAAAAATGTGGTTTAAATACATAGTTCATATTCCCTTTAATTGACTAAATTATGTCTAGTGTCTGGAAAATTTATGAAAAATGAACTCTTAGCAGATGAAAACGAATCAAAAGAGCTAATGCTCCACTTGTGGACAGCCGAGCCCCCTTTCTCATGCTTTCTGCAATTATGTTCGTGGCATCAAACTGCCCAAGTCAACAAGATGACTTAGGGCAAGGCCGATTGGTATTTTTGCATTCTAATAAGTGTTGTGATTGGTCAAGGACACAGGAAGAAAGGCAGGATGATGCAGCAGTTGAAGGAGTGTGAAGTTATGCAGATATCCTGGTCAAATAAGGTCCAGGGCAATTATGCTATGTGGCCGTCAATATGCGAAGTCGCCTCAAAGGACACTGGTGCTTCTCGCTGGATAAATCACTCATGTCCTTCAATACTCAGTACCATCCACTTGTATCCATTTTCACCAGTGCTTATCCTGAACAGTGTCGCACATGGGTGCTGGAGGCCATCTCAACTGACTTCATGCAGACTACACCCTAAATTGGTCGCCAGTCAGTCGCAGCGCACATATAGAAAATAAACAACCATTCAAACCCACATCGTCACTGATCACATGCTGCCCATACGCAAGTCAGGCGAGGGTACCACTACACCATCAGCGACAGTGACTACCAATCCAGCTGCACGGTTATGGGCGCAAGCAGAAGTCTGTGTTAGTACATATGGTGTGATGGTTGGAGTATACTATATTCACGAGAGTTAATTTACACCCCATGATTCATTGATGGTGTCACATACACACTCGCATTTTCGTTTTACAGTTTCAATCAACATTTCCACTTCGTGTGCCATCTATAAAAATAAAAAAAACTGGTCAGTACTGTAAGTCCGTGTGTGGTGGTTTCCAACAGTAATTTTGATAAGAAAAAAAACAACAAAACACACCACTTTAGCAGGCTTTATGGATTCTAGAAAAAAAAATCAGATAGTTACATGCTGAAGCACAGAAACCTATGTGCAGTTTTACATTGTCAGTTAAACAGTGTTGTGTTCACTGGTGTAGAACTACAGTATTCTGCATCAAGCTGAGAGGTGTTTCGAATCGTTGTCTTTTATCTTATATTCAGTCACTGAAATAGAGCTAAAACTCACTCAGCATTTTTGCAACGGCAGACCTTTTGCTTCTACTGTTGTGTTGGATTTATTTTAATTGGGTACATGTACTTAATGATAAGGTCATTCAGTAGGATTCTATCCAAGGTGTCCTGGTGAAAGCAAACTTTGATATTATTGTAGTCGTTGATGGTGTAGTGGTAAACCCACCGTGGAATTGCGTGTTGTGCAGCGTAGTGTTGGTTCCGACTCGGTGACGGTGTGAATGTGTGCGTGTATGGTTGTTTGTCTCTACATGTCCACTGTGACTGACTGCCGACCAGTTCAGGGGTTGTTCCGCCTTTCGCCCAAGGTCAGCTGGGATAGGCTCCAGCAATTCCCTCTTCACGATAAACTGTGTTGAAAATGGTTATTACTGTATAGAGTACGACTAATCTAAAACATGCTTAATCTGCAAAGCCATTATAAGCCTGATGTGTATTGATATCACAATGCCTTTGCCAGAATTGTTGCATAAAGGAGAGCCAAACCAGTCAATCGCGGTGTTCCAAAATCAAGCGTGGGAGGTTTAGGCGGAGAGAGAGAGAGAGAGAGAGAGAGAGAGAGAGACAGAGAGGGAGAGAGAGAAAATATCATTTTTATATATTTTGTAATAGTTGGTCACTTTTGTAAATATGTAAAATTGTAATTCCTTCAAATAAGGTGCCGGGCTCAGCCAGCAGCTCTGAAATTTTTAGTTCACCAAAAAAACAAAACAAAAAAAAAAAACAAAACTTGGTCATGGGAGGCTGGTTGCTTAAAAATAAATCTTGGGTCATAAATGGTTGGGCACCCTTGATTTAGAGGGCAAATTAAGGTTTCAACCCACTTAACTGCTGATTTCCATTGGCATTAAAAGGCTGCAAGTCAGCCGAGCATTAGTTATGAACAGCAAGGTCGAATGTGAGCCGCTCCTGTTAGAAGTCTTTATTAACTCATGTCGATATGGAATGGCACAGCTTTTCTTGGTCCCAAAGGACTAACATGAAATATTAAAAATCAGCCATCAAGGCTTATCTCTTTGTACAAATAATTAAAATCAAATAGCTTTTGAAATGTAAAATAATAATAAATACCAAAAAAAAAAAAATACAAATTATTTTCCCTCAATTGTATTCCTGTGTTGCTGCCATTCAAGTTGAGGTTTTTCCGAGTGCTGATCAGAATGTGTAAAT